CAAAGGGATTTGAATCCCGAAGGACTATTAGTTTCGTTTTGGCATTTTGCGTCGGACTCATAAATGTCGGTTCACTTTTCAAACTGTTGCCACAAAATGTTAGAGTCCTGCATTATATTTGAAGAAATTAAATAATGAAAAATCTGCATAAATGTATGTATATTTCTCGTATTGTGATAAAACAACGGTACATAGAGTCATCGAATTTTGAATAACGTAATCCTCCAACGAATATGAGCATGTGGAAGACCAAATTTGAAATTTGAAATTTGTTTTATATGATCGATTTCCTATTTTTTAAAACATTGACGAATTTTTGATTAACAAACTCAAGGATTTCAAAGCGAGCAATGGCAACGTTATGCAGAAAAAACATTTTTATCTCCGGCGCGTGAGTTTTTGTATCGGAAATTCTAAAGATATGCTCATTTTAAAACTATTTTGCGATATTCCTGTTGAATTGAATTTTATGGTTTAAGTACGAAGAACATGATGTTTAACAAATAAAGATAACGCACAAAACGTTAAAAAAACGTAATTTAATTTGGACGTAATTTAAAATCTGAAACATTTCAGATTTTTTTTTTTTTTTTTTAATTTCTTCTTGACTGCTTCAATCTTTGCTTGGCCCGTCTGCATCTGTTCCTGAACTGATTTGATGGCTTCTTCCATTTTTCTTGAATCGCTTTCATCTCTTCTTGGCCCGATTCCATCAGTCTTAAACTTTTGCATCTCTCTTTTTTTTTTTTTTTAATTTAGTCGACGGCCCCTATGACGTTTTTATGATCTCTGTGACGTTTTTTAGTTGCTCTTGCTAGCAGCATTCAATCCCATTTCTGACATCAAAACTTGTTGTTTGCATACGCGTTTGTAATGGATTGAATGCGCACAGAACCGATGATAACTTGGTAAAATTGATTGTTCTCAAAAGAAACACTTAACAGTTCTGTAACTTTCCCCAGAAGTACTCGTACAGTTCTTGTCAGTATAACAGATCGCAAGCTGGTAATTATCGCTTCAAACTAGTAATAACGTTAAACACAGCGCAATGGAAAACGCATCCAAAAAGTGAAGCTCGCACGATCTCTCAATACTCCGAAGTATGCTCCTAACTAAAAGACTGAGAACTGATGCTCTCCGGGCTTATACAGTTTTCCTCCGGCCGCCGAGAAATTTCTATTATATCTAATCTTTCCACTTGTCGAAATTACTGGAAGACATAATAAGGTATAAGTGCCAGGTACGGTACACTTACATTATAGCATCAAATGGGGGGGGGCAGTTATTCAATTACAGTTATACACAGACCAGGCCAAAACGTCACCAAATGGTTGCAAAGTTTGGCGATAGAAATTAGTCGCCAAAACCCTGGCGAATTTAGCGTGCTGTTTACCTCAATGTTAAATAGACGCACCCCTGTAATCTTAATTTTCCGGCAGAGCTTCCTTCTCTTCGGACTTCTCACATTACATTGAATAATAGATACTACAATTTTACGTATAATTTCACTAAAATTATTTACATATATAAGAATTTCATAACAGTTTAGACTTTATAAATCTGAAAGCTCGGGGTTTCGCATAATGGTATTAGTTTTCTTTCTCTGACGTATATGATTTCACACAATTTAATAACATTATCAAACCGTTTCTACTATTTTTTCCTTCTGCTTATGAGTTATGTAATGAAATAATATAGTTTATTCAGTATCATAATTACATACTGGTTTATTCACTGAGCTTTAGTTTAGTAGACTCTCTTGTATCATACATTGCTTTCTTTCAAAATGTGCATTAAGAACTTTTCTGCTACCTTTACGATTACTATAATTCTCTTCAAGCAGCATTAGTAATATAGAATAATGGCAAACGTTATGATTTTCATTAAAACTTCTTTTCTCTTGTGCTTTTCTTGTGCGAAGTCAAGGAAACATGTTGGAACGAAATGTAGAAAATAAATTGTTGGCCATCCAAAATGCAAAACCATGAAAATCTAAACAGCATAAAACTTGCATCGTATGTATGCTGCTTTTAATTAAATCACTAGGTACAAATCATTACTATTCCAGCGCAAACGCGCACATCATTGGGGACTTCAACACTTCTCGTTTGCGTTGAAGGAAGGAACGTTTGCGTTTGGAATACTGTGTTGTCTTGTGAGATTTTATATGTATGCATACTGCTGTCTTCTGAGCCCACCATATTGCATTGTTACTCTTGCCCGCCCGTTCTCCAGGTCTATCGCCTATCGAACATCTCTGGTCAATGACTGGAAAACGCCTAGCCCGGCATGCCGCACCACGGGTACACCAGATGAACTTTAGTTACTATGGATGCACCATGGGCTTCCGTTTCCCAACAACACATCTAAAGTTTCTGTTATACTCAAAGCCGCAGCTATTGATTAACGTGGAGGCAACAGTGATTACTGATTTTCTTATCTTCCTCAATTCAAAGAAGGCTGTATTTCAAATCAGTTAACGTGGATACTATGTGTAATTGCTGAAATAAATTTCGCTTGATATTTCTTATCCTTCGTATTGCATTTTGGATGACCAACAGTGTATAGGCGTGAATAGCAATATGCATTTCCGAAATTTAAAAATGATTCTTTGTATTTCAGTAATTAGATATCATATTTAGAATTCCATTCAAATTTTCTTATCTTTGGTTATAAACTGCAGCTATCATTTTTAATATCTAGATTAATAAAATCCTTTCTGTATCAAGCAAATTTGGCAATATTTTTAAATAATTAATTTTATTTAATTACATTTTTGATTTCAATGAAGCAAATTTATTATGCATGATTAATGGAAATATTTTTATATTATTATTATTATATTTTAGTAGAATATTTTTAGCTTTAAAAACTTCAACTTCTGTTGATGTTTACGAAGCTAAAATTGAATTTAATAATTTAACTCCTGTTAACGATGTTAATATGTCCTGTTAATTTAACCTGGTTGATTTAACCTGTTAATATGTCAGTGTTTCCCCAGATTTGGCTGCATGTTTACTCAAACCTATGTCTATTAACTTGCAAGTCTTTCAGTAGATTGGGAGATAGTTCTTTTTTCGTGTTTTAAGCCATAATATTATCCTCAGTGACTCGAGTTTTAAAGCCACGAATTGCTATTAGTTTCAGAAAGGGTTGATATCCTTCAAGCAAAATGAGCTGTCTGAGTATTTGAATGATTTTCCCTCGTATATAAATAAGATCCATTTTTCTTTAGGAAGGTTTTTATGCAACCTTCTGTAGCTAAATATTCATTAAAGGCTTCAATGATATTAATCTGAGCATCATTATACGAGTATTAATATCTGAGTCAACATCTCCGGTTTTTGATTCAGATATGCCTTCCTTATTGTTTCAACATTTGGAACCCACGGGATGAGAATAAATTAATTCAAAGAGAAGCAGATTATGCGAACTGAATCTAATGAAAGTGCTGAAAACGCCAGAAGAAAAAAAAAAAAAAATCTGTTCAGAGACTTAATTGTATTCTTTTTTTTAAAGCTCAGCTGTACAGTAGCACCTTATTTCAATAATCTAGAATAAAGAAATGCTGTTGACATGTCTTCTAGTATCAAATATTAGCAAAAATGGAAAATTGCATATTTCAGATGTTTTATACATGTAATTGGAGACGGTCAAAGCATAAAAACTGTATTTCCAAATGTGGATACTGTAGCATCACAGCGACTAGAAGGATCACATAAAAACTGGACGCTTAGACTCTGAGCTTAAAGTGCTGTTTCCATCGCTTTGTATTTTTATGTTTTGTTTTTCTATGAGAGATTTTTGGGACTTCTCCTTGCTTTATAATTTTCGCATGCAGAATCTTTATTTCAAAGCGCTCTGCAAAAAGCTTTCGGACAACACTTCTAGCATTATTAGTGGATTTGCAGTAATCGTATTATACACTTCAGCAACAATATCAAAAGGAACACGTGGTTGTCCAGATCACGGTTTATCACATGTGCACCCAGTTTCTTCAGATGTTTTTACCAAATTACGTACGGAACATGGGCCTCGTCTTTGCTTTTTGATTTCGCTAATAACCTCGCGCTGCTTTGGCAACATTTTCCCCTGTTTAGGTAAAACAGCTTTATCAATTTAACTGCTTGTTTTCCTGTAAGCTTCATCTTGCTAGCACGTTCGAACACATGATTGAAGAAATTATCTTCTCACACTGCTTATTAAAAGTTTTTTTACTAGTAATGGTTTGCACATTGTATTCTGTGATTGTGTTTCTGCTGTCTATCCCTATGAACTGTGCAAGTGCACCAGTGCACCTCTTCTCTGTGTTGTCAATGCTCTTTACAAATTTTTTTCGAGGGCAATTTTCGTGTATTATTCCTAAGCCATTTATGGTTTTTCAGTACGCTAATCAATTTGCTCAGGAATTATGTATTTCTGCTCAGGTGTTGCTTTTCGAAAATTTTTAAATGTTTTCACTGTAACCGTAAGAGTTCTGCTGTTTTAAATCATCGCAATCTTGAGCGCATAACTTCAAATAACACTATCTGAAATTTAATTTCGATTTGTTGAGCGGATAGCTTGCTAGGGGTTCATATATTTTCATATCACATGGGGGGGGAAAGCCAAACATGCAGCCAGGCCGTTCACATAGACTCGAACTCCACACACACACACATCCACCCGCGCAAAGATAAATGTGCACATACGTATGCACTTTCTTCGTTTAAAGTTGTTTTCGGGCATTAATTTTGGGATGCATTTTTCTTTTTGTATTTTACATATATCATTAATGATTTTTTTCTCGTGCATATCTCTTAATTATTAAATTACGAAAATCAATTTTTGTTGTTCACTTTTGCTTTTATCGCTCAAGAAAAAGTAGTTTTCACGGGAGGAAAAAGTACGTAGTTTAAAAAATTTTTTAAAATATACTATGTTTTCTGTGTTAATAAATTGTTAGCTCTTATCTAATGAACATTCGATAAATAGAGTGCGATCAATCGAAGCAAATCAAAGCATATTCAATAATAGTTTATTTAGTTTCACAGAGTTAAAGAATTTAATTCAAGCACACATTAATTGCATGAATCATTTAAATATATATACTAATTTGCGATCATAAGCCCAATTATCCTTTTCTTAGAAACATTACTAATAAAATAATTTCTGAAGTGCATTTCCTGACTTCAAAAGGCAGGAAGAATTTAATATAGGAAACATGTGTTACAAGCATTATATGATGGGGAAATAATTTATGGACTTAATCATTTTCTGTGCATTCTATAAAAGTCTCATTGATAGTCTATGCAAGTATATAGCAAATATAGCATTTCAGTTTTTTTAGCTATTTTGCATTTTTCAAATTTTACTTTTTAATGATGGAAAAAAAAAATTGGTGAAGCTTAGTTACCAAATTATTTATTAGCTGAACTTTTTTTTTTTTTTTTTGATAATGTGATTATCGTGTTTAAAAATATTCTTCTTTACATTCGGTAATAACTTGAACTTCAAGATCTTCTTGAGTTATAGATCCCCTTTTCTCGAGCCTATGTATTCTTTGTTTGAGGTTATTCTGTGAAGCAACAAATTCTGCTAACAATCTTGCTAATCTCGTCTGCAAAACTTCAATAGATTCTTCTAATCTCTGTACTCTGTCTTTAACTGCTTCTTCTTCCACTTCTGCAGCCTTTATAGCTTCTTCATCTAATAATCCGTCTTTTATGAGAATCTGTTTGCCTCGTTCGATCAGCAGCTTCTGAGCTTCTGGATATTCTTCTAGTACCTTCAAATGGTGGGGGAAAAAAGATTTAATGTAAATTAAAAAAGATTTCCTATCTTTGTTTTGAAACAAATGTCTATCAAAAACGTTATGTAAAAATAAATTAATTAATTGCAAGGAAGATATATTTTTATACCAGTGACCTGTATTTATATCCCTATTATTATTTCGTTGTAGTTACGTTAATAAGAATGTTAAATCAGTTTACTGTATCCTGTAGTCTATTCCATGTCATTGCATAAATCTGATAATTTATTTGCTTATCACAAGCCTTATCATAAGTACTCAAGATGGCAAGAGGGCTGTCCATTTCTGATAGATTCGGATTGCAGTTAGGACGGAAGCATGACCCAGAATGGTTTGGTGCAGAGGTGGTGGAGAGGGGCTATTTCAAAATTATTTTAGGTATTTTTTTGTATCAACATTAACCACAAATAGCCGAGATAGTGACATATTTTAAACCATGCTTGGATTACAGCTTGGATAGAGAGTAGCAGTGGCCAATATTGGTGCACAGATGGAAGCAGTGTCAGAAACGGGTAATCGTGTCATCGTCTCAGCTATTCATGGTTATTCTTGTGACAGTCAAATAGTTTGTAAGAATTATGACACGATATAGAATGACACGAATTATGACATCAATAAGACTTCTGGGCTTATGCCAGTGGATATAAGTTGATATAACAATTTGGATATAATTGTAGAACAGCAAAAAATAAAAGAATATATAGGGATAGATAACATCGATCAAGTATTGTATATTTGGAGGGGTTAAATGTTTAAAAGTGAAATAATTCTACATGGAATTACTTCTATATAAGGCTGTAATTCTAGCAGACTAATAAAGAAACATTTCTGTTAACTATCTGGATATTTTCATTGTAATACTTTTCGCCGGGGAGGCCTCAATTCGAAAACGAATTTCTTCTGCTTGATCAAAATTTGGAGAAATATTCATTGCAACATAAAAAACACAAGTTCAGCAATATAGGAAAAGCCATACTTCATATTAGATGTTTGGAATTTATTTGTAGAAAATCTGCACGTGTTTTAATCAAGTGCACACATTAAACGAGAAGATGGCAATTGTAAATTTTTGAGATACATGCCAAAGAAACCAGACAAACTTTGCATGAAATTTTTATCGGCTCAAGTTGTCTATTTTAAATCATTCAGTAATTGTATTCCCATACCTGGAGAAAGATGATTTTAAACACAATCTTCTAAATGAGAAAGAAATTTCATATTTTTGTTTAGTGAATTCCCCCTGCAACATAGGATGAAAAATAATAACCCTAAATTTTGTACAGAATCTCAAGAAAAAAAGATTATCCTTTATTACATTGTATTCTGCAATAGAAATGTCTCATAAAGAAAAGAAAACTACTGGAATAGTGTAATTTTAAAAATTCGAAAAAACTTAGCGATTATATTCATCAAAGTTTTTGCCTCCCTACCTCTCTCGCTTCTCTGTTCCCCCCCTAATATTTGCTTAGAAGTAAAATTAGAACGCAGTTTATTCAAGCAAGTTCTTTTTTATTATTTCTTTATTTTTTATTTTACCGACCAAACTATAGCTCGCCTTCCATACTCTTCCAGCTTAAGTCACGCCACAATTTTCCAAAATCTTTTTCGTGCTATCTTTTACTGACTTGAAAAGAAAAAGCAGTTTTGCACAAAATTCCTTGATATTTATGTAGTTTCAATATTTAGCGTCTAAAGCGGCTTTTGAAATCCGAATTTGCATTTACGTAGAGTTAAGGGAGCAAAAATTATCCAGCTGATTATTTAAACAATAAATTAATTTAAACTTTCGCCGCTTAACTATGCACGTAGGAGAAAAGGACCTAGCGGTTCCAAAACGGGTGATGAGATGAATTATTCTTTTCGAGAACATATAAGTTGCAGTGTCATATAAATCCTTAATTTAAAGCAATCTCTCTCCCCCCCCAAAAAAGATTAATATACAAAAACTTGCTTATTCACATAATAATACCAGTACAGGAAAGAATATAAAGCCTCTAGACAAAGCACCCGACCGAGGTGTGATCAGTAGAGCTGGACGATCCGTTGTGGAACTAATTCAAAGAACCGATTCCCTTTTCTGAGCGAATTTGCTCCGATTCCAGAAAACGGAATTATAGTTGTTTTACAGTTCACGGATTGCTTTTGCTGGAAGCGTGGCAGGAATATAGATCTGTAATTTGATTCATGAATAAACAGCAGAAATCTTATTGCAAGCGTGTCAGAAAAGTTCGATTCTCATTTTAGGGGCGAAAACATTATTATTCCTCCCATGTTAAAAGCCAAGTTTAATTTTTATCATTTCCTAACTTTTTGAAAAAACTTTGTTCTTTTTATTACTAGTTCTATGTAGAAAGGAGGTTTATAGAAATCTCAAAACTACAGTTGAAAAAACAGTTCAGGGAGTTAAGTGTTTAATAGAACCGATTTTTCCGATAACACGGCATGTTCGGTTCTTTTCGCTCTTCTCTCCAACCTCGCTAATAGGTACCGATTTCACTGCTCACTCGATTCTTTCCGCTCTTCGCTCCATTTTCGCTAAACGCTATTTCTTCACCCTTTGTTACCGATCTTTTTCATCAAGGTTAGTGAGCGGTGAGTCATAAAACGAACCAATTCATTTCATTGAGCGAACGGTTTTGATCTGATTCCATAAAAGAACGGTTTTGCACATCTCTAGTGAGCAGTAGGGGAATTTGTGCCAACTCGACGGAATATATTTTGACATATGGTTTGTTTTATTTGTTTATGGCAAAGCACTCGAGAGCTCTCTGCCTAAGGGGAGGGGATTCTAAGGGAAACTAACTCTTATACATGTTACACCATGGAGGTAGGAAAGGGAGGAGGGGCCATTCCGCGCTAGAAGTGAAGCACTGCTTTGTAGCTTGGGTCACCAGACGGGGTGTTCTTTGTTTACATTCAGAAGCTCGCTTGACAAGATTCTGATAGTATTTCGACACACGACAGTTCCATAGAAATCGAAAAAGGGACACTCTCGCATGAAAGAAACATTCATAGTGTGATGGATAATAGCAATTTGTATAGTTTACTGACATTTACGCAAAAATCACATCTTGGTTATTTTTCGATAACTAACAACAGCGATTTTGATTATGAATTTGTTTTATAAAATTCTAAGCTGTTGCACTACAAAAATATAGATTTTAAGAAAATTGTTAAAAGAGATCTGCCAAAATTTATTTTCTAGAAGATTTGAAAAGTTTGAAACTTGATGGCTAAATGTAAATATAAAATTATGTATGTTAAAATATTTGTAATTAGGCACATAGGTCAGATTAAGTTTTTATTAAATAGAGTAACGCATGCAAGGGCTATCTGCCTAAAGAGAGAGATGCCATCGTGGAGGAATTTTGAAGAGAAACTGACCTTTGAGTGGGTATTAAAAGTAATACTTATAATTTTCATTCAAATTATATTCATATATATTTTTTATGTGAAACTTTCGGGTGTATGCTAAATTAGTGTAAATTACTTTACACGAAAAATATAGTGAATGCACAGAAATTAAAGATTTGCACATGCCGGAAATGATAAATAGGAAATATGTATGGGTATTTATGCATGTGCTTGCAAAAAGCATGTATCTGCCTTTGACAAGATACTTAAATATTCATTAAATTATTTATAAATGTATTTGAAATGAAGAATCTATTCACTTATAAACAACTGTGAAAGTACTGTGAAGAAATCTAATGATTAAATGTATCTAATTTATAATGATTATAAATGTTATCTAAATATATAATAACCTTAATATTGAATTGTAAACATAAATTGAAATCCTGTTGACAAATACGTTATAAAACTATTTAAGCAAGAATTGTTCGTATTGGAAAGCAATCTGTTAAAAGGTATTGTAAAGCAAAATGCTATGAGATGCGCACTTAAGAACGTAATAAAGAGTTTTGGAATATGTATTGTTGAAATGAAGGGTAAAAAAAAAAAAAAAAAAAAATCTGATAAGTATAATTAAAAGAATTTCCCTTTACATTTTATAATAATTCAGTTACAAGTTTTAAATAATACTTAAAAAAAAAAAAAAAACTTATTTTATTCCCTTTCAGAAATGTTCAGAGAAAGTCAATACTATTTAATATCTATTAATTATTAGGAATTAGCGAAATACTTATTTAAAGTATTTCGCTAATTCCTAATAATTCTCTAATTTAAAATGAACCGAATAGAGCATTAATTATAAATTGACTTACATTTTTCGATTTAAAAGAAGCCAAAAAAATCATGTCATATTTAAGAAAGTATTTTAGGAAGAAGCTCTATAAATAGAAAAGAAATAATGCATAATTTTAATATTAATAATACAATAAACTTTGATCTTAATTTTTGTACCCTAACCGAATAAAATCGAATTACTTTAATTTTTTTTTCTAATGTAATTAACGAAAACTTGTGAAAATATTTCATTCAAACTAAACCATTCTGAGAAAACTGTCCTGTGAAAAGTATAGCATTTAATTCCGTTCAGAATGAAATGTTGTTTAAAAATATGTTGTTTTCACATACTTAGGACTCTGAAGTGTTGTAGAAAAAGAAAATATATACATTTATATGTATATTTGCGACGTAATTACAAAATATTTACACTCGAACGCGTCAAATCCCATAGAACTCAATGGTAAATGACCCAATGTTTTGGTCACCACGTAGGGATCGCCGGTGCTTCAGAGCAGGGTACGGAGAAACTTGTTTAGGGCGACTCCATCTTACTTCCTATCCTCCATGTGTTACACATGGGGAAAATAACGAAAATGCCCATGTAGCCAGTCCGTTCGCCGGGATTTGTACCCCAGACCGAACTATCAGTGTTCAGCGACTTAACCGCTGGTGAGCCTTACTACACATGGAGAACTACTTATATGATCAATTATAATACACATTTGCAACACATCAGTATTGCGCATAATACTTAATGCAATGTAACATATATAATATGTAATATAAATTTTAATATTTATTAAATATGTGTACAAATAATATTTGACAATGCGGGCAGGAAGAGATAGCCCTTATTAAAACAGTAATATCTTGCTTTGATGTATTTTGCTTTAAAAAAGAATATTATTTTGCCTCTTTGCTTTGATAATAATCTAACTGTACGTGTTAAATATTTGCAATATTAAAATTTATAATGTAGGCATAAAAGTTCAGAAATTTAATCTTACCTCCCACAAATCCTCTTTGGACAAGCAAAAGAGATCGGAATATCCAACACTTCTGACATTCGCTGTCCTGCGGTTGCCAGTTTTCACCCCTGAAATATTCAGTAGGCTAAGTTCTCCAAACACACTTCCGTCACAAAGCGTCACGAATACCGTTTTGCCATCATCTGCTACTACGTTCAGTCTTCCTCTTTTGACAATATACATCTCTTTACCCACGTCTCCTATAAGAAAAAAAAAAAAAAAGAAATCAAAGACATGGTTATATAAATTTTTCTACAACGAATGACTTGTACGAAAACTGCCAAACTTTCAACAAAATTATAGAAGAAAAAATATGAAGGTTTAAGCTCTGAAATATTTTTAGCGATCTAGTCTCAAAATTAGTCCTGTTTTGTGCTTTTTTAGTGCCAATTTTATTTGTTTAATTAATATTAGAAATTTGAATTCGTTAGTATTAGAAATGCTAATTAACAGCCTGTCTGTCGGCTGAATAATTTCTATAATTTCTTCACTATTGAGCGTATGCTATTGCATTTTTGCTATTTATAAGTTTATTTTGGGCGATTATTTTAAGTTCTTAGCTGTTAAAATAGATGTTGTTCTTCTCTGTCATTTTGAGTGGACTTACTTCCACAAATAAGAGCTATTATAATTTGAATTGTCTTTCTCTTGTCAGTAATTTTCGTCACGAAATTTTCTGTCAATTAATCCGAATCCCTTTAATTTTCACTTTTCACCTATTATTTCGAATGGGTTCTAATAAGAAGACATTACTTTTAAGAATTAAAAACTTATGCTACTAAAGTATCACATTCTTGTTAGTTTTATATTGTAATATTTAATATAATGTATCAGTTTATAAGATTTTAAGTTATAAAATCTTATAAACTAATACATTGTATTAAATATTACAGAGTTTCGCAGGCAGTTTGTAGACTGCAAAGTCAAATTTAACTAACTTTTCGAGATAGTAATACGAAGCGAATGATTGTTTAGAACTGGCGGGAGACTGCAAGAGACAGAAAGCCTTTGACTTGTTAGTTTTAAAATGACAAAAAGTTTGCTGTAATACTGTTTTGAACTGCTTTTATTTAGATCTTGCTAGTAATACAGGATCTTGAATGCTGAAATTTTTGCTTGATTTTATACGATACTCAAGGTGTAGATATTTATTCACCATTTTAGTTTTCTACTTAAAATTAGATTACCTTTTTTTTTTCATTCTAGTGATAATGGGGAATTTATATTTAAGCTTTACTACCGAATTGCTATTTAATTTATTTTTTTTCCCATCCTGCCTCCTTTCGTCACGAAGTTCGCTCATTTCAGAATTTATGTACATTTTTAAGTGGCAAGCAGTTTTACTACAAAATGTAGAATTTTACGGATAGAGTGTGAGGGAATCTATGTTAGCTTGCTATGCCGACGATATTGCGGTCGCCTTTAGTTCTATCCAACCCAGTAATGCCATCTCCAAACCCCAGGATTTTGCTTTAGGTATAGAGCACTGGTGCAGAAAATGGAGGATCAGTATGACTGGCTTAAAAGTCTAAGCTCCTATTAGAAAGGAAACAGAAGATTCGGAAAACAGCATTGAGCAACTTCTACTTATTCGAGGAAATTATGAATTGTGTAAATAGTGTAAATTATAGAGGGGATATAAATTAAGCAAAGGCTCACATGGACTTGTTATATTAAGCACGCCGCAGGAAAAGTCTGTGGTATGGCAGAACAAATTTCAGTACTCCTAGTAAATTGCTATGGACTGTCTCTCAACAAAATGAGAAGGATAAACCTCCGCATTAGAAGGCCAATTCTGTGCTACGCAACTTCAGCCTGAGCGTCAGCCTCAGAAGCAGACTTCCACAAACTTTGAGTACTGCAGAATAAGATACTGAGAACTGTTAAATGCTCATTACCTGGTAAGAAACAAATTGATCCATGACAACTTGAAAATCGACTTTAAATTGGACCACATTACTAAACTTAATAAGCGTTTCTTCAAAACTGGGCTAAGCTGTGATACTGCGCATTTTTCAGAAGTTCTTAGCTACCAGATCATTCCAGAAGGCCGTTATAGCGAGAAATCTGCGTACTGAAAAAGACAGCAGTCAACTGAATTTAGTTAAAAAAAGGAAGAAAAATAAGATAACTGAAACTACAGTACTAGTTCGCAGAGAGCAGTGATTACTGTTAAGAAAATCAGGTTCAAAAGATATTATTCCAAGTTCTAAGGTATAACTAGCAAAATTTGTCCTGACTATTACTTTTTAGTTCTGCATACACATATACTTTTAATGGAAATGAAAGCCTGACTATATAAAACTGCTATAGAAAATCAGATAAGGCATTAAAAGATTTGTTTTTTTTTTTCCTTTTGAAACAGGTTAAAAACTAATAACGTTATTTATAAATTAAATTTGATAGCATTTTAAGTATTCTACTGCATTCAAAAGTATGTAAACTTTAACATACTTTTTAATGCAGTAATTCATTTTGGCAATCGGAGTCAAAGTCTTCGAGAAAACGTACTAAATCTTACCAAACGCCTCTTAAAACTTAAAATAATACTTAAGATGATATGATAAAAATGATTAATATCATAAAAATATATTTTGGATAAAGATATCTTATGCAATATGATTTCATCTCTCAAAACTGAAAAGAGTGAGAGCACACTAGAAGATAATAATGTGGTGATAGTGATGATGGTGCGTTGAGCTCGGTTGGCCGAAAGTTAATAGTTAGATCTACAAGGCTTACAATGTAAGGCAGATTTTTGTATTTAATTGTCATTTGTATACATTAGGTCACTAGAAAAAGCGTATTAGTTCAAATAAATATCGGATTCGAAAGTTTAGTCGAAATTTTAGAGAGGTATAAGGTATTTCTCCCGCCTTCTTGGTATGCCTTCGTTGTGTGGTGGTTTGCACGCTGGGCGCGTATTCCAGAGGTCCACGGTTCGATTCCTGACGAAGGCGTTGCTAATTTTTCATCTTGCCTGCTTTCGAAAAATCCTAATATCTCTACAGAGGATATGTTGGAATTTGAAAGTGACATTGTGGACTCAACGGTTATGAACTAAACGAAGTTAATGAAAAATCTGAGAAAAAACTAAAATCGAAAATGAATACGAAACTCGTAATTTCTCATAAAGGATATGGTCAAAAAATTCATTCTGCCTGATGAACTTCGGATTTAGATTCTCAAAGAAGGAGAGTAAAGGCATTTCGTAAGAGCTTTCAGATTACGACTTTGGATGATGCGTGAGATTGAAGAGAAAACTTATTTATAAGCGTGGGTTGGCTAAATATAAGATGAATATTAAGAAAGCGAAAAGAAGGTATAAAATAAATGGTGGTAAGACCCGCTAGCAAAATAAAAATTACTATATTTTAAAGTAAACACATACAATATGCATGAAAATTGATAGTTTGGTTAAATGCGTTTTACAATTATCTGTGATCTGCTTCCCTAGCATTAGCCCATATAACACTGTAACTAAAAATTATTATTTACACACTGTAACTAAAAATTATTATTTAAAGCAAAATTCAATTTAAGTAACAGAGGCTAAATAAAATTCTTTACATTTTGCTGCAGCGGTAACGCTAACCGCTAACGCTAGAGGGCGCTGAGACGTGCTGAGAGCGCCATCGAGTGTGTGCGGAGACTCGATGGAAGTTTCTCGATGGATAATGTGCGATTTCTGATATTCAGATGTTATTATATTTAATTAAATCAATGTATATTTTATTGATTGGTGATTATTGATTTTGATTTATCGATATGAGATGTGATATGTTTTGTTGAACCACCACACTTTCGACAAACTTGGATTACCACTGAATCTCAAAACCACCGATGCGCATTTGGTGCGTCTACGCCAAAAACCAGGTAAGAGAATCTTTATTGAATTATTGAAACTGAATTATACCTGGATAGAAATTAAATATGGCTGAAAATCTGTGAAAGTTGAAGAAGAAACGCAGTTCCGTGCGTTCGATGTTGACGAAATTAATTAACAAAATAGAAGTTGCTATCAACAACGAAAACGAAACAGTTGATCAGTTGGAAGCATTTTTGGAACAATTAATCGGAAAAGAAACTGATTTAAATTCTTTAAATGTTGAAAGTGAAAATCTTTTGAGCGTCGAAACAATATCTGAAGATATAGAAGCTTCAGAAGAAATAAAAGAAAAAATAATTTTTTGAAAATCGAAACTTCATTCTAAAATAAAGAAATTAAATTCTGATTCTATCCAAGTTGATACAGTTTCACAAAACATTCAGTTGATTAATTATGAAACTGAAAATATAAATATAAAATTGCCTAAATTACATATTAGTAAATATTATGGTAATTATTCTGGTTGGTTAGATTTTTACAATTTATTTGAAAGCTCTGTTCATAATAATCCTAACTTAAGCAAAGTTGATAAATTTAATTATTTGAAATCCTATCTCGGTGGAACCGCGGCAGCATGTATTAGTGGATTTGTTTTAAGTGATGAAAATTATGATAAAGCTCTTGATTTATTGAAAGAAAGGTTCGAAATAAAACATTTGATTAACACTCATTTGAGTGTTTTTGCTGAATTTAACTCCGGTTAAAATCCTAACGATGTTATAGGTTTACGAAATTTATATGATAACGCGGAACGCAGATCAGAAGCTTAGATTCTTTAGGAAATTACACGTGAATCATATGCAAATCTATTGACACCCAATTTTTAATGAAATTAATTCCTTCAGAATTCGTTTTAGAATTTAATCGCATTCAAGGCGACAAGAATTTGACTTAAAAAACTTTTGCAATTCATTAGTAAAGAAATTCGAAGCCGCGAGAGATCCTTTCCATATAATTATAAACCATCGAATCAATGATTGCACTATGTTCCTTGCAAGAGAAATAAAAATAAAAAATCCACTTCTATTAGACATAACTCTTCAAGACTTCTGCATAAGAAGGAGAATTCTTTCCTCTCTCCACATACGCATGAATTCCTGGCGTCAGTCGAAAATGTAATGTGTTTATTTTGTAGCAAAGGTCATAAATCAGAGTCGTGCTCTACATTTAATGCAAATGAACGGTGAGATATATTGAAGCAACGAGGTCAATGTTTTCGTTGTTTGACCCCTAATCACCGAGTGAAACAATGTTTGAAAAAGGATTTGTGTCCTATCTACAGCAATCCTCACCATGTGTCAATTTGTTTTC